CAACCGATGCGCCTACCGATGCGCCGACCAATACGCCGACGGATGCGCCGACCGATGCGCCAACAGATGCGCCTACCAATGCGCCAACGGATGTGCCGACCGACGCACCGACTAATGCGCCGACCGATGCTCCAACCGCATTTACGGACGCTCCGACCGAAGCTCCGACTGACGCTCCGACCGAAGCTCCGACTGACGCTCCGACCGCCGCTCCCACGGATGCGCCGACCGATGCCCCCACGGACGCTCCCACGGATGCCCCAACAGACGCCCCAACAACGGTGCCCACAATGACACCAACCGCCACGCCATTCCCAGTCCCCACGCACTCAAGTGCGTTCACACAAATTGACTCGGATAGCAACGGTCTGCTTGATCTCAGTGAAGTCGAGGGCTATGTGAACTCGCTCAAGCAAAAGGCCATCGCTGACATCAACACTGGCGCTGCTGCAGCGACGGCCTCCATCACCGAAAGCTACAGCGCCAAAATCAAGTGCATTCAAGATGCCTTTAGTCAGGTATTCTATCCCACCGACTCATGTGCGATACTAAGTGGGTGATGTAGCTTTACGGATCGAGCCCAGGCATTCCAAACGACAGTGCTCTCCAAGCGTTTTTCCAGGTCGTTGATGTCAACTGTGGCACTCTCGTGACACCAACGCCGACGACGTCCTTGCCACTTCCGGTGCAATTGCACTACACGCATTCCGACGTCATTGATTACGTCTCCAACACACTTCAAGGTTCCAAACAGTTTATCAACTGCACGTCCTCGGCCTTGAGCAAGTACCCCGCCAACCAGCCCCTTAGCTACGATGACGTCCAGGTTTTGCTCTATACCGTTCGCCACGTCTGCCTTCCGCCGACCACGCCCGTTGTGACAACCGTGACGCCGGAGCCAACGACCGTGACGCCCGAGCCGACGACTGTGACGCCGGAGCCAACGACTGTGACGCCGGAGCCAACGACTGTGACGCCGGAGCCGACGACCACCTGGGTTTCAACGCCGACGCCGGCCCCGACCAACTATGAGCCGACCCTAGACGAGATCAAGAACGAAGCTGCACAGGCGCTTATCCAGATTTCCAACTTG